TGCTCCGCTTCTGACGGAGTTGTGGCTTAGGCTGCCGACCCTAAGACCAGTGGTTCAAACCCATCGGCCACTTTGCTAGAGAAAGAAAGAGATTAGGCTGTCTGCTCCCTGGAAGACTTACAGCTTCGGAAACTCTTACACAGGATTGCTGTGTGTTTGTGTGTGTGTGTCTGTTTGCGCTGTTACTCAAGATTACGACAGCTGTCTCCTCCCCTGAGCCCACGCCAGCAATGTTGGTGAATTCATGTCACTCTCTCAGGCCTCCCTGGCTGACCTGCCTGGAGCCAGGTCTCCATCTGCCTGCTGAGCCCTATGCCTCCTGCTTTGCAGCCCTGTCTACCTCTGCACCCACTCCCTGTTGACCTCACCTGGCTTCAGCCACCCCACCCCACCCAATTGAACCCTCTGCCAACCCAGCTGCCCTCTCCAAGGCCCCAATCCAGATAGCGGACACAGGCTTCCTAATGCTCCGCCCCTCCCAGCGCCCTGCCCTCCCTCAGCTCTGGCCATCCTTTGTGCTGCTTCCTCCCTTATCGGCAGTGACCGGTCCTGATGAAGCCTCTGAAAGGTTACAGCAGACGGTGCTGTTCAGCTGGCCCTGACTCAGCAGAGCTGCTGCTTCGCAAGCGAGGGAGTTCTCCAGGCTTTCTTTTGGGTGCCTCTCGGTGGGCTTGAGCCTCTAACCCTCTGCTTCTCAGTCTCGCCAAGTCCCCCTCCCCGGGACCCACCCCTTCCTAGTTGCCCCCACCACCCCCGGCACCATTTCTCCTGGTGCTGGAGCAGCCTCAGGGTACAAGCCAGAGCTTTCCCTCTCTGCTCACTCCCCTTGGAGGAGCCAGGCTCGGGGAGGCTGGTGGCAGTTTCCCTGCCTCCCTCCTGGCCAGGCGCAGGGCGGACCTGGGCACCTACAGCTCACAGTCCCCACGCCATTGGCCCTGTGGATTTGCATCTTCCTGCTTCCAGAGAGGGGCCTCGGGCTTCCTACCTCCCCTCACCACCACCGCCAAGCACACGCATGCACACCACCGCAGTGGTCTTCTAAACCCAGGCAGATGGCGTTGCCTCCCCCCCCCTGCACAGGTGACTGCCTCATGGAAGCCCAGGGCCATGGCCCCACGTGCCTGGCTTGCTGTCTGTGAACTGGGCCTCTTGCAGGCTGCCCTTCATTTCCTGTGCTGCAGCTACAGTGGGGCTGCTGGCTCAGACTATAGCCCACGCCCCCCCTCTTTTGCACCCAGGACCCGGTGCCACCTGGGCCGTTCTGGACCTGTTTGCGACCAGGCCCCCTTTCTCCCGAGCAGGCTTGGGAATGCCGTGGGCTGACAGCAAGATGAGGTGTTATGTCCCATGGGGGCCACACAAGGGCCAGGGGAGCCTTTCTAGAATTCACTGGGTCTGGCCCGATGCATGACCTGGGTCTGTGGCCCCAGACACTGGCCTGTCAGTCTGGGCAGTCGCCTCCCTCGCCTGTACCCAGTCCTGGGGCTAGGGCTCTACTTGGCTGTTCTTCTCTGGGGACTTGACTGTGGTCTGTCCCCCCATCCCCCTGAGTGGTCAGCACCCGGGAGAGGGCCTGAGCGCCCTTCACCTCCAGCTGTCTCACAAACCAGTACCTCTCCAGCCCTGAGGGTTCTTCCGAGCTTTGTTTTCCGCTCCTCTTCCCCGAGCAGGAGGTGTGCCACTGGCTGGGCTCTCGGGCTTGGTGGAAGGGTTGCTGCCCCCTGAGGCAGGACAGACTCCCTCCTCTACCTGCCCCTCTTGGTGCAGGCACACAACCAGTGACCCAGTCTGTCCCAGAAAGGGGGTGTCAAGCCCGGCAGAGCCAGCCTTGTCATTGTTGACACCTGAGGCTCCACCCACCCCGGCCCTGACCTGGGGGGGTGGGGGCTGTCACCTCTGTTGACATACATGTGGTCTGCCTCTCCAGGATGAGTCTGCAGATCTTACAGGACGAGAACGTCACTGGGGACAAGACCGCAGAGAACTATGACTTGCTGTTTTTGCCACCGGAAGTTACTGGGAGATCGTCTGTCTTGCGTCTGTCACAGAAAGAAAATGTGCCCCCTAAAAACATCACCAAGGCCGTGAAGGTGAGTCGGTCACATCCCCGCGTGGAGGCAGCGGGTGGGTGGGCAAGGGCGAGGAGGAGGGCTGCTTTATTGAACAGGCCCTCTTGCATTCTGCCCCCCGTCCCCCCAGGTCACTTTCCAGACACCCCTGCGGGACCCTCAGACGCACAGGATCCTCAGTCCCAGCATGCCCAGCAAGCTGGAGAGCATGTTCTCCCTGGATGACGCGGTCGGCCTGGAGAACGCCCACCCCACCCCCGCGCAGAGAGACGAGTAAGTGTGGCGGCTGCCATGGCCCTGGAGCTTTTCCTCCAGCCCTGGCGGCTTGCGGGCCTCTGCCCTGAGTGCCAGCAGCAACTGGGGGGAAGGGAGGCCTTGCCGCCTGCCGCTCTGGCTTTCTGTAGTTGTTAGGGGCACACAGTGCCATGTGACAGGCCCCTTTCTGCTGTCCAGGGCGCCAATTCCATTCTTGGAATGTTCTCCAGCCCTTTTCTGAGTGGTTCTGCCCCACGCACGATCTCACAGCCTCTGTCTAACCTCTCCCTGCCGGCTGCCTCTCCGTCGGGGCGTTGGCTGCTGAGGGAGCTCCAGTTCCGGCTGATGCTCTTTACGGGCTCGGCCGATGCTGGTGTGTGGTTATCGGAGACTTCGGGGGCATTCGTGGTTTGGATTTGTTCCCTTTTTGTTATGGCTTAGGTGAAGGTCTGCAGAGCAGACCGGTCTTCCAGTCAGTAGTTCATAGATATTCTGTCTCACGTCCTTGATGGCAATCCCCACAACGTTCCGACACGTGACCCACTTCCTCTCTGGGTTTCTCGGTTCTGGTCCTCCTCTCCTGCCCATTTCAAGTTTGTCCTTGGGTCAGTGCTGCCCGTTGGATCCCAAGTGGCTGTTTTGTTACGAGTGCCTGCCCCCTAGAGTGCTTTATCCCCTTCACATCTGACCTTGATCGATGCCGTCAGGTGGGCTACCTCAGCTCGGGGGTCCCTGAGCACCTCGCAGGGTCCTCATGTGCAAGCCCTGGTGGAAGCCAGCGGGCCAGGCCGTCTCGTTGAGGGCCTTCTACCTTGCTGTCCCTCCACTCTGACAAGCGGGACTGCTTCTCCCGGGGATGGCTTCTCCCGACAATGTGTCCAAAGCACACAGGGCAAAGTCTCGCCACCCTTGCGTTTCCGGAGCATTCTGCTGTTTCCTCCAGGACAGATCAGTTTGTTCTTCTGGTGGACCGTGGGCTCTCGCTGGATCTTGGGCTGCAGATTTGCCCAGTGCGGTCCGGCACGGGAGCTCTTGCCTACTGCTCCCATGAGCATCGGAGGTGGGTCCAAGTCAAATGACATTCCATCTCTCTGGGTTCAGTGGCGAGGGTGCCGACGGAGCCCTGGTCGCCCCGTGGTTACGCGCTGGGCTGCTGCCCACAAGGTCGGCTGCTCCATGGGAGACAGAGGAGGCTTTCTGCTCAGAAACCATGGGGACCCTTAGTGCTCCTCTGTCCTGCAGGGTCGTTGTGAGTCGGCATTGACTTCATGGCTGAGGGGCTTAGTGTCGTTGCTGTTGCTGGCATGAAACAAGAATTTATTATTAATCGTCCGCCGTTTTATTTTTGCCACAGATTTTCCCAGTCGTTCAGATTTGGATAATTCTTGTGTCTTTTGGGAAGTGACCATTAGCTTAATGGTGGACTTTCTAACCAAGCTCACTGCCATCGAGTCTGGCTGCTCATTGTGACCCTATAGTTTCTCGGTGTTTGTCTGGTGTTTTTTTCAAAGTGTTTTCTTTCTACTTGAGCCCTTGATATCAGCTTCTCATCCCCCCGCCCCATGAACTCTTGATAAGTTATAGATTGTTATTTTCGTACCTTATATCATCCTCTGTCGCCCCTCACCCACTTTTCTGTTGTTTGTCCCCCTGGAAGGGGGTTATATGTTGATCCTTGTGTTTGATTCCCCCTTTTCCCCCCACCCGCCCCTAATCATCTCTTGGGTTTTTTGTAGTCCATCCTGAAGGCCGCAGTCATGGGTCTGAATCAGTAAGTGCCCCGTGTCCTCTTGTCTTTCAGCAAGCAAGGTTGTGATGTCTGCCTACCTGTGCTGAAATTCCTCTTCTCTTCAATATTACCCATAGTCTATTAAGATTCACACAGTCAGATGGCTTTGCAGTCTTCCCAAGATTCCCTGCTTTCAGCCAGGCCCGTCTGATGTCAGCAGTGGTGCCCCACATACCATGTCCTCCTCTGAAGCTGACCTGAGTTTCTGGCAGCTCTTTGCTGGATACACTGCTTAGCTGGTTTTTTTGACTCCTCGGCAAAATTTTACTTGTGTGATATCAATGGTATCTATCGTTCAAGAATTTCCACACTCTTGGGGGTCACAAATCTCTTTCAGTTGGTTGGCCAGGTAGCAGATGCCTTCCAAATTCTTGCCATAGACGAGTGAGTACTCCCTGCGCTGCGCGTCTGGATTAGTAGTCAGTCAATTCCGCGAGTCTCCCATTTTGCCGATGGCTTCAGTGCCCCTGCTTTTCTTTCGGTACTGTGGGTTGGTTTTCGATCCCCTGCTGCCTCTTGACATGGTTCATGGTTGACCAGTGCGTCCTGGTGCCGTGCCTGTTCCTTCCACCCTCTTGGGATGCTCTCTGTATCACTTCTAAGCTGCACGCAGGACTGAGCAGAGCGCCCCTGTGAGTTTCCAAGACACTAGCTCCATGGGACTAGAAAGCCTCATCTTTCTCCCGAGAAGTGGCTAATGGTTTAGAACAGCCGACGTCATGATTAGCAGCTGGGCTCCTTGTTAGCCCTGACGTCCTTCAGCATCGCCATCCAGGGTCACGATGAGCAGCCAAAGACTCGATGGCAGTGAGCTTGGTTATAAAGTCCGTCATTAAGCTAATGGTCACTTTCCAAAAGACACAACAGTTAACCAAATCTGAGGTGAATTGTCCCCTCCGTGCTTGGAGCTGGGGGGCTCCTGAGCTTAGCGGTGGTTCTCCAGCTCCAGGTCTTTGCGCGTTTGTGGCGTTCATTCGCCCTGGTGAACTGTCCCGCTCTCCCGACGCGGCCCTTTCCCCTTCGCTTTTGCTCCTCCACATTCAAGAGCGAGTTTGAGAGTCTCTTCCAGCGTCCACGTTGGTCTTTTCTTCTTTCCTGCCTTTTTAACGACTGTCGCTTTTGTCGTGGATGATGGTCTTCTGTCCCTCGTGTTTAGAGCGTCCAGTCCCTTCTCGGGATGTTCTCCAAGTTCAGGTTCTGTTTTGGCTCCTCGTGGACTTGCTTGTTGAGCACTTGAGGGTGAGGTCATCCCTCTGGTCACGGTCCTTGCAGCCCCTGGGGCTCACCTGTGGTCCACTGCCTGTGTCATTGGGGCAGACCGCTATCTGCTAGCCCTGAGCTGTTGGCAGAGGGCGGCGAGAGTGTCCCTGAGGGCAAGGCCCTGAGGCTGGGGGCAGGAAGTGGCTTGGCCTCCTGGCCTACCTTGCCCTCTCCAGACAGCCCGGTATCCTGATGGCCCGCTCACCGCCGGGATTGGTGGTGTCAGGGCACATAGTCTGGGGTAAGGACTGACTGGACCTATTGCCCACCCCCAACCCCTAATCTGCTAAGGTTTTCAAACGAACGTTGTCTCGTGATCAAGACCCAGAGTCTTAACAGTGTCTGTTTCTGAAAAGCCAACAGTTCTCTTGCGAAGCTGAGGCCACGCCTGCAGATGGAGCTTTCCAGAAGCCAGCCCTGCCCGATACAGCCTGGCCCCTGGGTGCTTGGGCCCCAGCGGGAAGCAGCAGTGCCGACGAGGGCCTGGACCCCGCGTGTCTGGGTGGTCTGGACACTCTTGCTTCTCCCCAGGCTCTGGGAGTTGGAGAGAGCCCACCCCTGGCGGGTCCAGGACAGGTGTCCAACAGTCCCGAGGAGGCCCTACAGGAAAGGGGGCCTTCTTCCTCCCCAGAGAGAAACGTCCCCCTGCATTCTGACACCGTGGGGGACATTGCCGGACTGGTGGCCCTGGCCAAGTCGGAGGGGGCTTGCGGAATCGAGGAGGAGGCCCCCTCAGACGGACCCTTGGTCGGCGGAGTCTTAGCTGCCCCAGTGGAGGCCACCCCGCCCCCCACTGCGTGCCCGGAAGGCCCACCTGAAGAAGCCCCACCCACAGAGCGGCCCAGCCCGGATGGCCCGTGTGCCCCCCCGGGGGAAGAGCAGAAGCCACAGGCTGGCACCGTTGGTGACTCAGTGGCTCCTATGGCCCCAGATGAAGCCCGGGTCCTGGCCCCCTCCCACATGGGCCCCACCAGCCCTTCTCGAGCGCAGGAGGAGGGACCCAGGCAGGTGGCCGCTGCGGCCACAAGCGAGCCTGTCAAGCTGGAGTTTGACTTCTCTGCTGGCAAGAGGGCCCCTCCCCCCCGGAAGCTGGGGAAGAGGCCGGGCCTGAAGCCACCTTCCAAGAGCAGGGTGGCCCAGCGGGCTCCCCCTGAGAAGGGCCAGAGCCAGGGGCCTGCTGCAGCTGAAGAGGGCTCCATCCCTGCCCCCCGGGGCGCCTACAGCCTGGACTGGGACAAGCTCGATGACCCAAACTTCAACCCCTTTGGTAGCGGCTCCCAATGTGCTGCAGCGGCCGGGCCTCCAAGCCAGTAAGTGTGGGTGGTGCTGGCGAAGCTGAGGTCAGAGGGCACTTTCTGCAGCCCTGTGGCTTCGTAGTGCCCCCTGACGAGGCAGGTGTCCCGTGGGGTGTAGAGCAGTCTGTACCCTGATGAAGTGGAGCCTGGGCCCTGCACACATCCACTGACAGGCCCCGGCTGCTCCCCACATCTGCTCTGAGAGGTCAGCTCGCTCTGCCTTTTAGAAGGCTATTGATGAAGAGTCCAGTGCTGGCTGCCTGGCCTGACTGCGGCTCTGGCTTCTTCCCAGGGCAGGTTGTTCCAGCTGGTCAGGGAGCCTCTGACACCCGTGTCGTGTCCACCCCCCTTCCCCCGCTAGACTAGACCACCTTCCTCCAGGCCCCATGTGGCAGGTGCTGCCTCCTCTAGCCTTGGGCACCCAATGCCTTGTGCCCACGAGGAGCCTGCTGCTTGCTGTGTCTCTACTCCTGTCTCTTCACAAAGGGGCGCATGTGGGGACACCTGTGCTGTGGGCCCCATGACCCCTCTGCCAGGGGGCCTGGCCCTTTCCCATGGGCCCCTCCTGATGTTGTTTCCTCAGGCAGGTGGGTCCAGCCGTTCCTGATGGCTCTCCTGATGTCCACCTCCCCCAAGTGGCTCCCAGAATGGCCAGCGAGGTATGGGGTCTGTAGGGGAGGGGTGAGCCAGCAGGGAGGAGGGAGACACCACCCTCACCCTCTTATTTCCACCTCTGTTCTTCTTACCAGGAGGGAACGACCTTTTCTACTGAGGGATCTGTCCCTGTGAGCAGCCCTGGCAGCAAGCCTGTGGTCACATCCACTGAGCAAGCGGCCAGGGAACCAGAGGCCACGCCTGTTGAGCCCAAGACCACACCTGCTGAGCCAGTGACCGTACTGACTGAGCAGAAGGCCGAGCCTGCCCTGGACCTCAGCAAGGAGAACTTCAGTGATCCTGCTGAAGGTACTTGCCTGTCTTGGGGTTTCGCGGGCACGTGCGGTTTCTTGGGGGCGTTGCTGGTGGAGCACGGCTGACACCTGTGGTGGGCTGCGCTGACAATGTGATGGTGGTGCCACTCTCCCGCATGGCCAGGGGGTGCTCAAGGGCTGGGAGCAGTGCTCAGTGCCAGCTGAGTGGTTCTGAACCCGCATGAGCCTGTGGCAGACACGGCGTGGCTCCGGCTCCATCGGGACTTCCAGCTGCACTGACTTGTACCCAGAAATGGACCACGATGTCGAGGGCCTGCTGGGAAAAAGTCTCCCTCTCAGAAAGCTAGGGCAGGGTGCACTTTCAGTGTGCGGCCCCACCTCCGTCCCCACCCCCTCATGGCCTCCCACAGCCTACTGCTGGGGTCAGTCTGGACCCCACTGGCTGTGTAGGGATGCTACAGCACAGTGGGCTCCTGCCCAAGGGTCGTGGCATCCTCACCATGCATGTGGGGGAGCGCTGTCCACTGTCCGAGGGTGGGGTGAGGCGGTGGGCAATGGCGGCGGCCTCAGGGGGCTCTCCTTCAGTCCTAGGCACGGAGGCCGATGTGGACTACCTGGAGCAGTTTGGAACGTCCTTGGTGAGTGCCAACTGGGGCTCAGCTTTCCGGTACCCTGGCGTCGGGGCATGCTGGTGTGCAGCCAGATCCAGAGGAGGCCCAGGGGTTGTGCCTGTCTGTGTGTCCTCGCCTCTGACCAGTCTCTATCTCAGCAGCTTTGACTGGGGCCACCCCTCCCCTCCCCTCCCCTCCCCCGTGTGCTCCGGCAGAGTGTGCAGCGGTGTGTCACCAGGCCTTTCTGCAGGGGCAACTTGGCCATTTGGTTGGCTGCCGAGTGTGAGCTATCAGGGTCTCCGTCCCAATGCCATTCTGCCTCCAGGTGACCCCTCGTAGGGTTTTTGAGGCAAAGTCTTACAGGAACAGCCGCCTCGTGCTTCCCCTGTGGAGCAGCCGGTGGGTTTGAACCACAGACCTTGGCGGAGAGCAGCCTGACACCTAACCACCACGCTGCCAGGGGGTGGCTCAGGCCCCTCCGGGACCCTTTTCTGGCAGTTTCTTTCCTGCTGCTGCAGCCAGTGTGAGCAAAACCCTGACCCAGGGGCTCACTGAGGCAGAGCTGCATAAACGAGACTGTCTGGGGTGGGGGCTGCATCCGTCAGAAGACTTGACCCTGTGGCTCCCCGCCCTCCCTCAGTTTAAGGAGTCCGCCTTAAGGAAGCAGTCTTTATACCTGAAGTTCGACCCACTCCTGAAGGATAGCCCCAGCAGACTGCTTCCCGTGGCCGCGGAGACCGCCAGGTGAGCCTGCCCTGCTCTGTCTGGAGTCTGTTAGCAGTGGGCGCTCTGCCTCAAGGACGTTCCGCAGTCAGGGCACCCACCCACGGGAGAGCCTGCCGGGGAGAAGGAGCTCGACGTATGCCAAGTCTCACTGCAGTCCCAACTTCATGTTGGAGGTGACGCTCCGGGGCCCTGGGGGAGGGGCAGCAGGTTCATGCAGTGTGCCTTTCCAGGTGGACTGCCGGTCTCACATTCATGCAACAAAGTAGAGGTTGGTTCTAGCAAAGAACACGGCCCAAGCCCAGATCCGCTGGGCCTGTGGAGTCACCGGGCGCGTCCAGTTATGGGTTGTCTCTGGCCAGCCCCTGAGTGGCAGCCTCTGTGCCAGAGAGAAGTGGGGCTGGTGGAGGGGCAGCAAGGGGACCTCGCGAGCCATGGGGTGTGATGTCCCTGCCATAGGCTTAGTGGGCTGGGAGTTTGTGCACAGAAAACAGCCCGGGGACAGATGGCCACCCAGTTTGTTGACCGTTTCTTGAACGTGCACCTCGGGGTGGACACTGCTCCGTTGGTTCCCCATCCAAACACATCCGGGCAGCCTGACCGTCTGGACTCCTGCTGTCCCATCCGGTCAGCTCGGTCCTGACAGCATTGCTGCGACCCTCTCCCTTGTCTCAGCATCCAGGCCACAGTCACCCCGGCCTCGGGAAGTGTGCCGGAAGCCAAGCTGGTGGACATCGACTTCCTGGACGTCCCAGTGAGTGCCCTGCCCTGGTCATGCCAGCCATCCTGTGTCTGTGGGGCCCTGGGCATCTGGGAGGCCGGCCAGGTGTACGAGGGCTCTGGGGGCTGAGCTGTGTGCTGTCTCCAGGTGCCCAGCCCTCCCCCAGGGGTGCTGGGGCCCGGGGCCCCGCCCTTGCCCGTGGGCCACATCGTGGACGTGCTGCAGTACAGCCAGAAGGACCTGGACGCTGCGGTGAGGCTGCTGGTGGCAATGGGTGGAGGAGGGGGGTCTCCCTCTGGCTGGCTGGGTGAGGCTGCTCCCCACTGACCGCCAGCCTTGGGGTTTGTGGACAGGTGCATGCCCTTCAGGTGGAGAACTTGGAGCTGAAGAGCAGGTGTGAGCA